CGACTAAGGTCTGGGCTTGGCCCCGACTCCTGTTGGTTCAGCCTACAGTCCACAAATACACTACAATGTTGAGCCATACGCTTTATTTTCCGATATATTTTTCTGTGATGCGTAGAATGCTGGGCATCGTAACAATAGGTCGTGTAGTCTTTGCAATCCAAGAGAATGGAGGCACCCCACAGTGACCGCCCTGGGCGAGGGGTGATTGCTCTGATGAACTCCATTAAAGCTCGCGATTTGGAGAAAATTCGACAGATTTTGAAGAGGTTGGAGCAGCGTTCGAAGCTTTCGCCATGTATTCCAAGCGATGCAACGCATGCGTTGGAATGGCGAACGGATATGGCTGAGGTTCGATTTCTGATTGAGATCTCGGAAGCTTTGACGGAGGTTACGTACAAGAAGGGCAGCGTCAAGGACCGATTTCGAGATTTGCCCTGGCACAACCTCGAGTACTTCCACATCGTCCTCAAGGAGGCCCTGCAAGACGCGGCAGAGCAGACCCGCTTGGCGACCTCGCAACATCGAGATGTGCGGTGGGGCCTCTGCGCCATCGCCGTGCCTCTCATCATCAAAGAGGACCTGCCCGAGCTGCATACCCGGCTGTCCACCCTGCTACGTCACCAAGTGCGTGCGGCTGTTCCTTCTCGTAGTGCGTCTATGTTGATCTCCACGCATCTTCATCGCTACCTGTAGGAGGAAGAGTTGGCGGTGTTCGGCGGCAGCATCACCGAAGAGACCGTCCTACGTACTGTCGTCACTGCCCCTCCTGCAACCGGTACCACCCTTTGTCCCCTCCTCCACATCTCGTCTCTTCTCATCATCATCATCTTCGTTCCTTATTGACCAAATTGTGTGCTTTGTGTCGTTTTGCGTGGGTGGTTTGTGTGTCGCTTCGTTTGGTTGTATGTCGTTTGGTTTGTGTGTCGTGCACATCCTTATGTGTCGTGTCGTGTGTTGCGAGCAGGTTTGGTGCATCTGGTGAAGTTGACACAGCACTTCATGGACGAGATGCAGCTCAGGACCCTCCTGGGACACATGAGCCCCCTGACCAGTTCTTCCTACACCGGCTCCCGCCTACAGAAGGTACCCAGTGTGCTCTCGTGTACGTGCGGTGTGTGCGTGTGCGGCAGAATCAAATCGTTGGGTTGCCACTCACCATCGTCCTGTTGGCCCGCGCCAGTACGCGCTGATGCGACTGCTGACGATCGTCGGCGAGTCGACCAAGTACATGTCGCCGCACCTCAAGGCCGCCGACCCGACCATTCCCTGGAAGAACATCGAGAAGGTGCGCGATTTGCTGGGCCACGTGAGCCGCGTGCCGATTCGCGAGGCCGTGCAGAGCATCCTCGAGGAGCGCGAGGTCCGGGGCGCCAACCTGGCCGAAGACGCCACCACCGCCGTTGCCGCCGGCCCGCCCAGCGAGGAGTCGGTTTGCCCACAAGTGACGACGACGCAAACAATGAAGAACACGAAAGCGAAAGCGAAAGCGGCAGCGTTAAAGAGCGAAGAGGGAGAGGAGTTGGGATTCGCGAGGACCGTGATCCCTCTGCCGCCGAACCTGCTGCGGGACGTCTACGAGCGGGAGCTTGTCGCCCTCGGCCGCAAGTTCGACGCCCTGCGACGCCACCACGCGTCCCTCCTCTTCGAACCTCCCTCTGCGCATCCATTTTCGTTCATCCTCTTGATCACCAGCCTCGTCTTCATCACTGCCACCATCTTCTTATGCTTCACCACATCAGCATCTTCATCTTCATCTTCATCTTCTTCATCACCATCGTCGCTGGTGGCGGCGCTGGTGCTGGGCGGCGTCGTGTTTGGCGTTTCGGCTGCGGCGCTCTGGCGGCGGCGAGACGGCGGCGGAGGTGGGCCACAGCAGAGACGGCGGGACGCGGCGGCGCTCTGGCGGGCGCTGCCCCGGGCGGCCGCCTACGCGCCGCAGAGCCTGGCGCTCAAGCGCTACTCGAAGCTGAAGGAGCGCGAGCTCGAGGAGAAGATCCGGCGCGACGACGACAACGCGAGGCGACACAACAACATCGACGACGAGGTCGAGCTCATGCTCCGCGAGCTCGTCACCGCCATGCGTCATAAGCGACTCGAAGGCGACGAAGGCGACAACGACGACAACGACGGCCACGACCAGGACGACGACGACGACAAGGCGGCGGCGGCGGCGGCGGCGGTGGATGTGTACAGGCGGGCGCTGCGGAGGGAGACCCAGCTGGACAAGGCCCAGGCGAAGGAGCTTTGGGCGCTGGTGACGGACAAGACCGCGCGGAAGCGCTGGGCGGAGCGACTCTACGGCAAGGCCAGGTCCACAAAGCGGGTCAAGCCCAAGGCCCTCGACCACCACAACAGCGACGACGACGACGATGACGATGACGCCCACCACGCCTACGCTGACGCCGGCGAGGCCCAGTGCCGCGGCAAGACCGGCAACAGCCGGAAGCTGGCCCGTGTGCGCAAGCTGGTGGCGCTGCACCAGAACAGCACGCTCAACAAGGAGGGCAAGCGCAACCACCATGACGGCGGCGGCGGCGACGAGCTGGGCAAGTTCGTGCTGCTTCGCAAGTTTCTGCAGAACCCGACGGAGAGCAAAGAGGACCAGTCCACGCTCTGCGTCAAGTTCATCATCGCCACCCTGCGCGAGGTCCAGCAGCTCATGGCCGACGAGCTCCCGGCCTTCCTAGCCTGGGCGCTGCATAGCGGCGACGACGACGGCGATGATGATGAAGAGCGCCGGGTGGTCGAAGAGGCGACGAGGCAGATCCGGGAGCACCCGCTGCTTCAGTACGCGCTGCACTTCCAGATCGGGCTCTACGCTCTCTACGCCGCGCAGGTACTTGCCCTGCTCCTGTCGTGACGTGTCGTGTCGTGTTCTGACCGAACGATACGCGTGCGTGCGTGCGTAGGTGAAGTGGTGGTATCCGAGGCTGTTGGGCGTGGAGCACATTGAGATGAGGGACAGCGTGATGCACGGCACGGGCCACTCCTACGAGCACCACCTCACCGACGCGGGCATCGCTGGCATGCTGGGCCACCTCGCCCTCATGCTCCGTGCGCGAGCCGGTCTCGAGGCTGCCCTGCTCGACCTACGGGCCCACGCCACGTGATGGATGATGGATGTTAAAGCATGGTTTGATTATTGTATAAAATAATTCTTGTTTACATTTCCAGATTTACAGATGTGAATGAAGAGAGATTAGAGGATACTTTGGATGAGGCGCTGCACCTCGTCCGCAATCTCCTCGACCGGCCGGTCAGAACGGACGATGACGACCCGCTCATCGGCCGGGAGCGCGTCCTTGAGCTTGACGTAGTTGGATCGCAGGGATTCCTGGAACTCGGCATTCTTCTCGAAGACGTCGGTGGCGCCCTCGGTGTGGCGCCGCTTGAAGGCCGTCTCGACGTCGCAGTCGAAGATGAGCGTGAGATCGGGCACGAGCATGCCCTGGTGCATGGCCTGGAGGCGCTCGAGCGGCAGTCCTTGGGTGTGCTGGTAGGCCAGCGTGGAATGCTTGTATCGATCGCACAGCACATGGGTGCCGCGGGCCAGAGCGGGCTCGATGTAGTTGTCGATGTGATTGCGTCGATCCTTGACAAACATCTCGGCGTACCACTCGGGCGAGTCTCGCACATCCTTGCCCGCCGCCATGGCCTTGCGTATCTCCTTGAAATCGCGCGTGGGCTCTCGCGTGAGGTAGACGTCGATATCTTTGTCGAGGTCAAAGAGGAAGGAGGCGCATTTCTTCATCTGTGTGCCCTTCCCCGAGCCGTCGATTCCCTCGAAAACGATGAATTTGCCTCTGCTCGTCGCGGATGTCGTGCTGCTGGTCATTCTCTGCGAAGATGAAGCGGATCGAAGAAGAAGCGATGTAGTCGGGTGCGAAACGCTCACCAATGCTCGAGAAATCGGCCTGCCCGTGACGGTTTGTCTGCGCATCAAGATGGATGCCTGCCGATTTGGTAACCCCTTGCGTTCGTTTGTTTTGGCGCGAAACTATGATTAAAAAACAAAGCTGTTTCCTTTTTCCTCCTTTTATTTTCTTTTGTAAATAAAAAGCTGAAAAATGCTATTCGGTGATCTTCTTTTTCAGCGACCAACAGAACGAACGAAACCCACAACACAACAGGGGTCAGACAACAACAACGCACACAGACGATGGAAAGCACAGTACCGGGAGCACCCCCACCGCCCACATCCGCGGCCGACTTTCCGCGCCCGGTCCAGTTTGTCACACAACCCCCGCCAGGCTTTGTGTCTGTGGGAGACCCCTCGTCGTCTTCTTCATCGTCGTCGTCACGTGACCACCCCGTCCTGCCCGCGCCCTCGCTCGACGCCATCCAGGCGGACCGTCTCGGCTGGCGCGGCCCCACCGACTACTCCAACTGGGTGGTGCGCGGGCGGCTCATGGCCGGCGGCTACCCGGGCGACTCGGTGAGCACCGAGCGGCACGAGCAGACCGTTGACGCGCTGCTGGCGGCGGGCGTGACCACCTTCGTCTGCCTCCAGCTCACCAGCGAGCTCTCGTCCCGCTTCCGGCCCTATCGCGAGTACGCCATCGAACGACACCGCCAGCGGAGGGAGGAGCAGAACGCGAAAGCGAAAGCGACGGAGACGGAGATTGTAGGAGAAGGTGCGAGCGAGCGGGAGCTGCAGTTCCTGCACTTTCCCATTCCAGACCAGTACGTGGTGGAGGACGAGAAGGTGCTGGCTCTTGTTGAAGAGGTATGCTCACCTTCCCAATCGCCCGACCAGATCTGCGATGCTGACGTCAGCGTGGTGTGTCGTTGCGTGTGCGGTGGTGTGTGTGTGCGGTGGCAGCTGCTGGTGCGGTTCCACGCGGGGGAGGTGATGTACATTCACTGCTGGGGCGGACACGGGCGCACGGGCACGATCGTGGCGTGCCTGCTGGCCCGGCTGCACGGCTTCACGGGCGCCGACGGGGCCGAGAAGACGCTCGACCTCACCGCCGCGCTCCACTGCTGCCGCGTGCGCAAGACCAGCTCGCGCAGCCCGCAGCACCCCACCCAGTACACCCAGGTGCGGCGCCTCGTGGCCGGACCCGCCGCCGAGAGCCTCGCCGACGGCGCCTCTTCTTAGCTCTGCGACCCAGCGTGAGCAGAAAGAGTGTAAATTGTCAGCATTCTGTTGATAAGCGCCTGAAATGTAAAGATTGAGCAAGGTGTAACCCACCTGTATACGGCCGACGTCACTCGTGGTCCCAGCTGTCGCCCCACGACTGGCCCCAGGCGCCGTCTTCTTCACCGGCGGCCCAAACGGGCGAGGGTCGTTCTGCTGCCGCCTGGTTGGACCGCCGGCTATCGCCTTCGCTTTCGTTCTCGAGGAAAAGAGGACCACCTCCACCGCCTCCATCGTCGGCTGGAGGCTCCTCCTCGTCTTCATCGCTGTCGTACGCCGCGATGCGCACGCGGTCCGTGGCCTCGTCGTACTCGAGGCCGAAGTAGCGGCTCGGCTCGGCCGCGATCGCCCGCAGCTCGGCCCGAAGCCGGTCGGGGCTGGCGGTCTCACCGCACGACTCGCGCACCGGCGGGAGGGGCAGCAGCCGGTCGGCGACCGACACCCAGTCGCCGTACTCGAGCTCGCCCTCGCTCCCCACCACAACGTGGCCGTAGGCGTAGGCCACCGCCGCCGCCAGCTTCTCCGTGTCCGATCGCGTGTCGACCGGGAACGAGTGCACAGCGCAGAGCTGCAGCGGCTCCTCTGTGGCGGCCGCCGTCGACTCGGCCTCCTCGTTCGGGGTCGTGCGGTCGTCGTCTTCGAGCCTAGTGAAGTAAGCGATCTGGGTGCAGAACCCGACATCGTCGTCTTCCTCGCCATCGTCGTGCTTCTTGTGACCCTCTACGCCGGGGCTCGTAGGGCACTTTCTCTTCGAAGACGCCGCCGGTCGGGCGAGGGCTGACTCCTTCTCTTCTTCTTCGTCTTCTTCTTTCTTCTTCCGCGTGATCTGTGCCGCTCGTCCAGCCTTGTCTGGTGCCGACCCCGCTCAGAGTGTAGCGGTAGCCATACCTGTTCGCCACGGCGTTGCACCACTCCTCGAACTCGGCGCGAGTCCACTCGAACTTGTGGTCGTAGTGCCGAAACGGGAGATGAGACGTCGTCGGCGAAGGCGTAAATGAAGACGACGATGACGTAGCGTAGGTGGTGTCCGGCCTGGCCCTCTTGCTACTGATGATGTGGGCACCGAGCGGATCGTTGAAGACCACGTTGAACTCGTAGTTGGGCGTGGTGACCACGACGTAGCGCGGGCGGCACCGGCCGAACACGCTGGCCTCCATCGCCGGCAGGTCGTGCGGCTCGAGGTGCTCGATGACCTCGACCAAGGCGATGGCATCCCAATCCTCTTCCTCTACTTGCTCACCATCAGCTTCGCTGCTGCTGCCGCCGACCTCCTGGACTGCCACGTGCGCGGCGCGTAGTAGCTGGCGGGTGTGGGCGGGGCTGCAGATGGAGCCACGGTGGAGGGAGATGGTGAGGGGGTGGGGTCGCTTGACTACGTGCTCGTAGAAGGTGGGCTCGGTTCGCTCCGCGGCCTGCTGGAGGGCGACTTCATCTACGTCGATGCCTGCCATTCTGCGTATGTGCGGCTCGGTGCGCAGGTAGCTCAGCAGAGAACCTGCAGCACACGGGGAGCTTAGCAGATTGTTTCGTCTTTCATCGCGATTGATTTAATTTGATTCGTACCTTCTCCGCAACCAAAGTCGAGCAGACTCGAGACGTCGTGCGAGGCGAGGAAAGTCGCCACCGCCCGGTGGCGTTGGCTGTACAAGGGCGGCCAAAATCCAGCCCCTTCCATGGCCGCTTGGTGGAGCAGGGTGTTCTGTATTTGTTTGCATTTTTTCCAGTTTTGGCACTGAAAACCCCTTTTTCTTGGCTCTTTTGTTTTCTGGCCAAATGCTGCTCTCTTTCCAACGAGTTGTGTGAAGGCCTCTCCCCTCACGATGGCAAACTGCCCAGTCAGCTGCAGTGGTACTGGTTTCTTGTGCATTCTTTCCTGCCTAACAAGTGTCTTCTTGGGCTCACTTTTTATGGGAAGGGTTTCCATATCTTGGTAAGATATTGATCTTGGGTAGTTCCCAGTTGGGCTACAACATCTCCTGGTGAGAATGGGGTAATCCCCAACATATCCCAGTCGAAAAGTCAAGTGAACAGCTTGGCAACACTGCCAAAAGGGGTGCGCCCGCCAACCAGAACGCGCCGAGAGGGCTGCATGCCCAGATAAAACCGAGCGCCATGATTAGTCAGCCACCAGTACAACCTGACCAAGAGACACGAAGGTCGGCTCAGGGCCAGAAAAAACCCGCCAGACTCGCCCACACCATGTGCGTGTGGGAGGAGTGTCGGTGTCTCGTGCTCGCCACGCTCCTCTGTTTGATTTTGTTGATTGACACAGCGAGAGCACCAACTACCTACGAAGGGAAGCTCACGAACCAGTGCACCAAGTACGCCCCGCCCCCTCTGTACGTTGGATGCCTGCTCATCCATCCTATCTTTCATCATCTTATTTTGTCTTTTTTTTGTATTTATTTGTTGTGAAGGTAACCAACCAGCCAACGCTTATCGCCGTCGGGTCTTGTCCTGCCCTTATCTCCGACCCTTGTTGAACAGCGAGGAGGAGGAGGGTGAAGAAGATGGAGGGCGGGGAGGGTGAGCCACCACCCACGTCGATGGGTGCCCGCCCAACGAGGGGTCGAGGCCGGGGTCGCGGTCAGTCAGCGGCATCGGCCTTCATCACCAAGTTCAAGGTGCGCAAGCAGACGGTGCAGCCCTCTGCCGGGATCACCTCCGACGCTGCAGACATCGAAGCGCAGGCGGAAGCCCTCCACGCTCGCTCATCTTCTTCTACAACTACGACCACTCCTTCCGCCACTACGCCATCAACATCTTCTTCAGCTTTCTCGGCTCCCCCTTCTATGGCTGCCGCTGCCGCTGCCGCGAGGGTCGTGCTGGGCTCGCAGCTGCCGACCGCGCCCAAGTCCTTCATGGGCAAGGCCACCTTCAAGGTGGCCAAGCGCAATGGGCAGCCCATGTCGGTACCCACGCAGCCCCCTACCTCCCCCCCACAACCGCCCACCTCTTCACGCCGCACCAGCACCACCAGCGCCAAACGACCGCACACCAGCGCCAAGCGCCCACCCGCACCATCCCCATCTCCCTCTCCATCTCCGACGTCGCCACCGTCTCCTTCGTCCTCTACACGCTCGTCTTTGTCTTCTTCTACTACTTTGACTTCGACTTTTCCTTTTTCATCGTTGGCTTCATATTCCTCCTCGTCTGTGGGTCTTCCTGCGGCGCCTTCGCCCAACTCCTCATCTTCATCCTCCTCTTCTCCACCTTCGCCGCTGACAACAGTCTCGCCAGCGCGCGGCTTCTCGTTGCTCGTCCTCCTCTTCACACAACGGCGGCCGGCCGCCGGCTTACGCCACGTCTTCGTTTGACTCGTCGGCTCTGCTGTCGAGCCCGCCGCCATCGACTACGTCGTCTTCGCTCAGTTACGGAGAGTTCGCGTACGACGAGCACGTCGGACAGCCGCTGCCTCGACAGAACTTTGCGGCGCTGCTGCACGGCTCGCCGCACCCGATCGGCGGCGGGCTCATGCACCGCCGGTCGCCACCGACCAGCAGCGCCGCCGAGGGCGGAAGGAAAGCGAAGCGAAAGCGAAAGCGAAAAGAGGAAAGCGGCGGAGAAAGCGAAGCGGCAAGTAGAAGGGAGAAAGAGCGAAGAGGGTCAACGAAGGCGATGGACGAGGTCACGGAGCAGAGTGACGACGGCCCTCGAGAGGAGGGCACAGCGATGGAAGGGAAGCGCATAGTACGCGACATCCACGATAGGGTTGAAGCGGAGGAGAACGAAGAGGAAGCGGAAGAGGAAGAGGAAGAGGGACATGAAGACGAAGACGAAGGGGAGAGCGACAAGATCGGGGTGTGGGACAGCCAAGCGCGCCTCTCCGCGGAGACTACCGCGCTTGTCCTCATGGCCGCCTATGAAAGGTGCATTGACGGCGTTGGGGTGATGCGTGCGCTTGTATGTAGGCGTGTGCGTGTGCGTGTGATTCGTGCGTGTGTGCGTGTGCGCGCGCGTGGTCATTATCGACTGCTTATCTTTGGGCTATCGTCGTCAGGTATGTGTTCCCGTTTACGCCGCTGCATCCGCTGGTGATGCACGAAGACAGCGTGCGCTTGTGCGTCAGCGAAGGCGACGATTCGGCCAGCCCACTCACCATCAACGTCAACATGGCATTGGCACTCGGTACCACCACCACCACCACCGCCCGTCTCCCAGAGCGTGTGCGCACCTACGTGTTCTGTCTGTGCTGACTCACCCCCGCGAGCGGGACTTTAGCTTGCAACGTGATCGGGGACGTGCGGCGGGCCAACCAATTTTACAACCGCGCGCGACAGAAGGTGGCGCCCTTCTTCGACACGAGCGACTACACCGTGGCCGAGTCCCTGGCCACCATGGGCTATTTCGCCTTCGGCCAGGTATGCACATCTCCTGCTCCCGCGTCACCGGTCACGGAGCCACTGATCACAGTTTTGCGCGTGTGTCGTGTCGTGTGTCGTGTGTCGTGTGTCGTGTTGTGTGTCGTGTCGTGTCGTGTCGTATGTCAGGGGGATATGGCACGAGTGTCCTACTACGTGGATCTCGCGGCGTCGATCTGTCGGGAAGTGGGCGCCTACAATTCGGACACCTACACCAAGTGCATGCTCGGCACGGCGCTGGACCCCATGCGCTCCCTCGAGGAGAAGGAGCGCACCGTCGCCGACTACCACAAGAAGGTTGGCTCTCCCAATTCCTTCACCAGCCAAGCGCCTTATCCCAACGAACCCACCAATTGCGTGCAGGCTGCGCTGTATCCCTACTTCGAGCGTGATCGGCTTCATATATTGGAGGCGGCGCCCTCCTGCCTGGGCGGGGTCAAAGGCCCCGCCAAGGTCCAATGCCTCATTCTCACGCGGATCGCCGGCAGGTGCGATGCAGTCTCCCTTCCCTCCTCTGGCACTGGATATGTCTCACGCTTGTGTCGTCGTGTGTCGTCGTGTGTCGTCGTGTGTCGTCGTGTGTCGTCGTGTGTCGTGTCGGTCAGATGCCTGGGCGACTGTATGGTGATTCTGGCGGAGTTCGAGTCCCGGAAGCGTATGATGGCAACCGAGGGCTCGGAGGAGCTGAAGAGCTGGGAGCGGGAGATTGAGCGGCTCAAGTGGCTGGACGAGGAATCGCGCTACCCCGTGCCGCCCTTCTTCGACGCCCGCAGGCATCGTGACTTTATGTCCAGTATGCGCAAGCTTGAAGAGACCTTGGACAAGCCTGGTGCGTTCCACCACCAATGGCATACGCACACGCACCGCACACGCGCACGACACATGCACCCGCTGATGCACCACCGCACACGTGTGAAAAGGTGTGAGGAGCTCTCAGTTGTTGATGATATGGTCTTTCTCACATAATAGAGTTGATGGGGAAGTCGTTCGGTGAGACCGCAATCGCCTTCCACATGGTCCTCCGGGCCAAGTACGCCCTGCTTCTATCCAAGGTACCAACACTCTCCGATTTTAAGCACCTCACGATGGCCCGCTCAAAAAGGTGTGTCGTTGGTATCGTGTCATGTCGTGTTTTCGTGTGTGAACAGGACAAAGAGAGCTTCGACTGGGCGTTGCGCTTCGTCGACGTGCTGCAGGAGATCAACGTTCGTCTGGTACAGCCCATTCACCCCACTTCCCCGAATCACGGCACCGCCACTCACTCGGCGACCCACCCGGCGACATGTCCGCTCGCGCCCCCGACTGTGCAGATGAGCCCCGGTAACATCCCCGCGTTCCAGCTCCTGCTCGACATCCTGCTCGAGTTCCAGCGGCCAGACCTCGTCAAGCAGTGCCTCGGTACGACCTCTCGTCTGGCCCAGATTCTGTCTAGCTCTGGTCTGCCGGTGAATCGTTGCTCATCACCCGACAACTCGGCTGACTTATGATGCGACGACGAACCACTCAGAAAGCGTGGACTCGTGGGTGCGGCTGTACCCGTTCGCCCAGGGCATTGCCCGTGTCTACGCCCAGCTGGCGCGTGACATGGAGTCCGTCATGCTCCTCAGCTTCGACACAAGCTCTTCCTCTTCGTCGTCGTCATCTCCGCCCTCCTTCTCCCTTCGCACCGCCGCCATTACGCCGTCGTTGCCGTCACCGTCGCAGTCGGCGTTGCCATCGACTTCGGCTCCGGCTGCAGTCGTACGAGGAGCCGCGGCCGTGAGGGGGCACGAGCGACGCAGACAACGCCAACAACAACAAGAAGGCATGCGCGAGCTTCAGATGGAACAGGAGCGGAGGCGACAGGAACTGCTGCAGCTCGAGCCCTCAGCTGTGGTGGCACACTGTCGCCCGGTTTACGCCGTCGGCCCGCAGCCACAGCCACAGCCGCCACCGCCGCAGCCTTACGCGGATCTGGCGCTTCTCGGCGCTTCGGCCGGCACGGTGACCTGGCCTCCGATGCCGACCTCGGTGATGAGAGGGCCGACGTCTACGACGCTGGAGGACGAGGCCGAGCGGTGGCTGATGCAGGCCGAGCAGGACGCCACGGCCTACGCCGCACGCGGGCCGCCGCTGCCGATACACCACCACCACCAGCAAATCTACGCCCAGCAGCTGCGGCCGCCCATGATTGCCGCCGCCGATCGGATGATGGGACTGAGCATGCCCCTCGACATCGGAACCGACGGTCGGACGCAGCAGCAGCCGCCACCGCAGATGGCGGCCGCCGCGGCCAATTCGTTCATGCCGACATCGCCCTCCTCAGCTGTCTTCTATTCATCTCTTGTTCCTCTTCATCCTCCTCATCCTCCATCACCTTCAGCGCTCGTCCACAAGACAACCAGCAGGCGCGACAATAAATAAGTGCTTTATTTAGTTTCTCCATGATTTCTTCCTTAATTTCTTCGGACCAGAAACATCACAGATGAGCCGGAACACGACGCGAATCGATCGGCTGCTGGCCAACCTGGGCTATTGCTCACGCCGCTCCGCCCTCGTACGCGCAATGCCAGCAGATTGAGAGCATTTATTGTGATATCAATTGAAAGATAATTAATCAAAAAACTGGCAGTCCTACATCCGGAGGAATCGAGTGACGTTCGAAGGCGAGGTGGTGGCTTCAGCATCGACGCACGTCCCCCAGGACGGTGCTGGCGTGGCCATCAACGACGAGCCCCTGCTTGACACCAAACCGTACATCTCTTCTACTCCTGCAGCGGGGCATGCCACCAGCACCGCACACAACGCACACGCATACGGCACACACACAACATACAAGGCTGGGTGGCGTAACGTTGTGTGTTTCGCAAATGACATGTGGCAGGCTGCACATTCTGTTGCACAAGCCCTCGGGCTACGTGTGCACGCGCGAGAAGGGCGAACACAAGACCGTCTATGATCTGCTTCCCGTACAGACCTGTCACCACCCATCACCCATCACCCACCACCCACCACTCTCCTCCTCTTTGTAACGTGCGCGCGCTTACACGTCGATGGCGAGCTTCACTGCTTACGCTTCTTCTCTCCTTGTTTCTCTATCTCTCTCTTTCTCATTGTTGGGCACAGCCCGACTTTTACAAGCGGCGACCGCTCCTCAACATCTGCGGTCGACTGGATCGATGGGTGACCGGTCTCGTCTTTCTCACACAAGACGGTGATGCCCCAGCAAGCGCACGACACGACACGACACGACACATATCTCACATTCAACACATTGCAGGCCAGCTGCAGCACCAGGTGGTGTCGCCCAACCGGAAGGCGAAGAAGCGGTTGGGCAAGACGTACGTCATCAAGGCCTGGCGCGACTTCAAGGCGACGAGGCCGAGATCTTCAAGGCCGGCACCCTCCTCCTCAACGGAGAGACCAAGCCCTGCAGGCCCGCCGACCTCGAAATCCTCGATCCCGTCAACAACTTGGCCAAGTACCGTTCTGCGTGTGTGCGTGTGCGCGTGTGCGTGCGTGGGTGGTGCGTGTGCGGTGAGGTGAGTGGAGTAGGCTGACATGAGAGTGTACAGGGTCACGCTGTATGAAGGCAAATACCACCAGATACGCCGCATGTTCTCGGGTACCACACTAACTGCCTTCTCGCCTCTTGCTGGCTCGCTCACTCGCGCAACACTCTGTTTTTATGTTGTTGGCTCACGATCACTCCCTACTACTGGCTCTAGCGATTGGCAACGGTGTGCCCCGATCGATTGCACGAATCAGCATCGGACCACTCCAGCTGGGAAACCTGGAGGTGCGCTCTCGCCTCGCGTTCTCCTGTGCAGTTCTCATTTCATGAACTGTGATTTATTATTATTACTATTATTATATTATTACTATTATTATCATCATTTATTATTACTCACGTTTAATGATCGATTTATAAAACACGTATGGGATCGGCCTAGGTGGGCAAGTGGCGACATGTCACGGAGGAAGAGCTCCGGGCACTGCGAGCGGTGGTGGACGCCGGCGAGGCGCAGGCTGCGGGTCAAAGAGAGAAGACGAAGGCCAACACCGCACACGACGAGGGGGAGGAAAACGAAAGCGAACACGAAGGCACGGACGTCGACAACGATGACGATGGCGACGAAGAGGACTTTGGTGACGGTGACAACGACGACGGAGACCAGGACCTGGCGAAGCTCTGGGAGGCAGAACACGCCGCGGAGGAGAGCCGCCGCCCGATCCAGCAACCGCAGCCGGAGGGGAAAGAACTGGCCGACGTGAAGTGAACGTTGGTGGTGGGGCACGCGAGGTGATATCTACACGACGCTGGCGGATTGGCCAAAGAGAACTAGCGTTCGGGGGGCAGTTGGCGAAAGCTTACGACCAATGGAACAGTCGATTTTATAACTCCGACGCACGTAGCTCTGTGACCACCAGGTTGCCGAGGTTGCATGAGACCCAATAATAGGCTGGGGAATTACAGTGGGTATCATGCTGTCGGCCAATCGCGATGGTGGTATTCCCGGTTGCAGAGCGAACGTGAACTTAATGCTGACTTAGTTTCAGCCAATCACCGCCCGGTTTGATCGGTTACTTTGGAATTTCTAGCTAAAGATGCCAATCGATCCTTTTTAGGACAAGAGTGTAGTGTTGCCCAAACATATCCACCAAGCTCTGTCGGGCTCACGGGAGTCAGTCGCAACCGTCGTCGGATGGACACTTTGCAGCACTTTTGCTCCTCCGTTGGCATAAAAGCCGGCCTCCGCCTCGCAGCAATCATTCAACAAACTCACCAACCTAGCAAGCAGCACTACCAAGCCTTGCCTTGTATACCACTCCAACCACCAACACTACAGTACCACCAAAACTACACCCACCCATCATGAACACCTCGTTCGTCTTCCTGACCATCGCGGCCGTCTTCCTCGCCCTGGCCTCGGGCTTGGCCAGCGCACAAAACTCGGACATCCCGATCCCGTACGATCCCGTCAACCCGCCGGCGCCGGTCAAGTTCAACCGCGACCGGTTCCAGATTTGGAACGTCAACACGTCGGCCTTCTGCTTCTTCGACTGCCCCGACGTGCCCCTGTACCCCGCGGCGTGCCCGCTCACCTGCCGCCAGTCCAACCGGACGAGCGTGCAGCAGTTCATCGTGTCGTCGGCCTACAACAAGATCGTCCAGAAGGGCTGCTGGATGGAGGCCCCCGTGAGCGAGGTGGGCTTCCTTGGCGGCCTCGTCGGCGGCTCGCGCTGGTGCTGGCCCAAGAACGCCACGGGCGCCGGTGGCGTGGGCCAGGACGGCGACGTGCACTGCAAGGGCGCCGTGGGCAACGTGCCGCTGCTGCCCTACGACTGGATCCGGTTCCACAAGATCGCCGGCGTGCAGGCCAACTTCTTTTACCCGTACGACACCATCCGCATCTCGTCGACCAAGAGCGGGAGCTACTGCTCGGCGCACCCGACCGAGTCGCGGTTCGACTGCGAGAACAAGCCCAACGCGTGGCAGGGCGATCGCTTCCAGCTCATCTTCGTCGCCTCCAACCTTAACGAGGGCTGCCCCGGCTTCGACTAAAGTCTGGGCTTGGCCCCGACTCCTGTTGGTTCGGCCTCAGTTCACAAATACAGTACAATGTTGATCCATACGCTTTATTTTCCGAGATATTTTTCTGTGATGCGTAGAATGCTGGGCATCGTGACCAATAGGTCGTGTAGTCTTTGCAATCAAGAGAATGGAGGCACCCCACAGTGACCGCCCTGGGCGAGGGGTGATTGCTCTGATGAACTCCATTAAAGCTCGCGATTTGGAGAAAATTCGACAGATTTTGAAGAGGTTGGAGCAGCGTTCGAAGCTTTCTCCATGTATTCCAAGCGATGCAACGCATGCGTTGGAATGGCGAACGGATATGGCTGAGGTTCGATTTCTGATTGAGATCTCGGAAGCTTTGACGGAGGTTACGTACAAGAAGGGCAGCGTCAAGGACCGATTTCGAGATTTGCCCTGGC